TCCCGAGAAATTTTGGTGCAGTCGATTTTTGGAAAAAAGGAAGGTTATACACTGCCTTTTTTTGCCCCGAAAAAAAAATTGTCTTAGGTCGACCCGGAAAAAAATTTTCTTATAGAATGTGGCCTGCAGAATCCATAATTTCAAACAGTTCCAAGATTGGGCTACTAGTTCAAAAGTTACAGCCCTTTGAATTTTCTTTCGGAATTAGTTTCTTATTATTATTAATAGCAACGTCGCACTTATTATTCCTTAAATGGCAGTTCAAAATGAACGGAGTCTTGCAAGATCTGTAGAGCAATTGTCGTTTAAAGGCCCGGTTTTTGAATAGATAATTTAAATACAATAAGTACTAGTGCGCCATCTCCATGGCAATCGATACACTTTCTATCAATTATAGTTTTAGAAGTCTAGTTGAGATGTCGCCACGTATGCACCTTCTTCTAAATTTTATTTGAATTTATGCGATTAATAGCAACGTTGTACTTATTATTCCTTAATTCAGTGCCGTTTTTAAATTTTTCGGGGCCCTGGGTCATTCGTTCGTGGAGGCTCTCCTTACCCTCAATAAAAACGGCAGATTGGGGTGATACAAGCAAATCCCTAATTTGAATATGGGCACTCGATATTTGTGTAGCCTGGTTTGTAGGCAACACATCATGCTCAATGAACAGAAAACATTTATTTTTGCAATTCGTAACTTCTTATGCATAGGAATTTATTTAAAGCCCTTGGAAGAACAATTTCAATAACAGGTACATTAAACTGAACCGTTTTACAACAACTTTCACAGGAAGATCGCACAAACAACACATTTTTTCGTGATTGCAAACTGCGTAACACTTTTGTCTTTTTCCGCTGCCAATTTCACTACCGTTTCTATAACCGTAATTCTATCAAATAAACTCTAGGCTCAATTCTTTAAAGAATAGCTTCGCACCATCGCCAGCTGCTGCAATCATGTAATCGTTCCGATTTTAACCTTGAGAAATTTGAATTGCATTAGAATGGGTTTTCTGCGAGTTCTCCACGGTGTCCTCCTGTTTTGGTTACAAAGCATTTCCCTTTTCAATTTGTGTTGTCTGAATTCAATGCTAACGTTTCTCATCCATCGAGAACTACATGTCTTCGATTGCAAGACCCAGAGCGAACAGTATCATATTCCGCAAAGGTTGAGTCTGCCGCTTTCCTATCACTCCCAGTAGCCAGTTCCCTAATTTAAACCTGTAAGCGAGAAAGGAATGATAACAAAGTTTAATTTTTGACTATAAAATAAACAAACATTCATTATGCATTTGAGGTTAAAACTTCAAATATCTATGGTTTTTTAACATAGATATATAAATACATAGATACAGCCATACCCCAACATAGTTCAAAAGGACGTACCATCTATTACCATCACTTTCGGCACATTAATTACGTATAGCGCTATCCTTTATAGAGATACCCTGAGCATGGAAGACAAGATTCGCATTATTTATTATAACTACTGTCAATCAAATTGTTAGCACAAATCACACAGAAAATTATCAGATTTGAGACTTTACAACATAAATAAACCGCCTTTTTATTTATTTAAATCGCATAGCAGCAAGAAATGTTACATTTAAAATGGAAGATGTTACTTATAAAGCTGGCAAATGAAGAATTTGAAAAAATTACAGCTGACAACTGGAAGAAAGTGTGTGAACATGTGGAAAGTGATTAATTTAAAAGAGAAGTTATATTTGGTTGATGTTGCTGAACTTTATAATACCTAAGTGTTAATAATGACAGTGATGATTCGAATTTGTCAATTTCATCTGACGATGATTCGGATTGTGAGCTTTTACAAACGTAATGAATGTTCACTAAATGAGTATTATCACCAATTGGATATCATTGTTAAGGTGTTGTATTTATTTTAAATAAATGTACACGTGTAGCTTACTTACTACAATTAGCACTATAATTTCAAAAAGAAACCCCACCGAATGGACATATGCCGAAAGGTAGGCAAGACGCGTAGCGACCAAAATTTGATATTGCACGCACACACAGTCTAAAAACTCGTTTCCCTAAGAATATTGGACGGATCCTTCTTTGTGATCATGATACAAACGCACTGCATCAACATCATATAGGCCAAAATGATAATTGGAAACGAATTCACTTCCTGTCGCAACAATTTCCTTTACCATTACGCCTAAAACCATGCAATTAAAATTAAAATGTTGAACATAAACTTTACTTACTTACGGTTTTTTTGATATTCTGCAAGCCAGCAATGAATTCACTGCAGCACATCATGCCAAACAGGGTAAACATTATCCCAAATTTGAATGGCGTAGTTCGATGTAATAAAACTATTTCAGGAATAACAATTATGGACGCGTCTATCATTATGGCAAGCACTAATGTTATTCGTATTCAATTGATAACGCAATAATTACATAATATTTAGTGAAAAAACCGCCCATCATGTTTAGGGCGAATATTTTTAGTTAGATTTGATTTCGCGCGATCGTGATATGTGTCAACTGTCACATGACTATGGGACGCGCTAAGTTTGTTTTAAGCGTCCGATTCGCGTACGACATAGTGGTTAATGCAATAAAAAGAGATAGAACATGTTTCTTCTTGGTTAGAAAGTAATGGAGAGATGTACAAATTTCTTTGATATGTTTTTTAAAAACCGAGGTACGTTTGTTAAGGATGGCTGTATCTAGGTATTTATATATCTATGTTTTTTAAACTAGAGCTTTGACATCTAACGTTAGTTTCATAAAGTACCTTACAAAATTAGTGTGGCGACATCTTTGAGGTGTAAGTTCCAACTAAAATAATGGTGGTAATAAAGTGTCCTGCATTTAGCGATAAAATGTTAGTCCCCAATAATAAAGACAGATGTCAGCACAATGTATTCTGCTTTGATTATTTTAATATTAACCAAAAACTCAGGCAAGCGCAAGGCTATCAACATTTTGGGATTTGTGCTTTTCGCTGTCAAAGGAGTAAACCACGAAACTCGAAAATTAAACATTTCGCTCCTGTATTATAGCCTATTCCTTTGCGTCATAGCGTTTTTGGAATGCCAAAGGACAGGGCGGGTAAACGGACGGCCGTCCGTATGTATACCTCTTTGGTATACCTAGACTTTTGACGATTTTAATAAAGTATCTGTTCGCAATACACGAGTTAAATCGCAATAAGAGTACGCCGCAATAAATAAGAATTTTAAATAGGTGATCATTTTAAAGACTTGAGAGTTAAGTTTCATGTATGTTAGGTTAGATACAATACAAGATTTGTAAAAATTTAAAACGCCCAAACTAATCTGACCTAAAACCTAACTACGACTCTAACCTAACCTTCGATCAACTCCTTGAACATTATCATGGTACCAGATTTTTGACCTAACCTAACTAGCACGCTAACCTAACCTCACTAAAATTTTATTTTAACCTTCGATCTCCTCGCACATTATATTCTCCTGATACCAGATTTCTGAGCTAACCATGGGCTGCATTTACTCTCAAGATTCACTCGGAACAGAATATGCGTTTATTTTGTTTGTACAGTTTTCAATATAAAAATTATTTACAGAAGTTGTACTTTATTTTCCTCCCTAATAACAAAACTGATAGGAAGATTACAGTACATTACAATAAGCACCTGGTCCTTCGCACTTTGCCGAAAACACTTACAAATTTGGTAGGTATCAGGAAGATATAACGTGAAAGGAGGTCTTTCAGTCCCAAATACACCTGTTCTTTGTAGACAAACTTACGTAAAAGTGTCTTGCTACTAGGAGAACAGAATTCACGGAGAGGTCTTTTTCTATCACTATGAGAGTTATTTCAAAGCTTAATTTCGATTTAAAAATTTGCCATTCTGTATCGGGATCATATGATGTGCGAGGAGGTGTTTCTTTTCCTAATACTACACCTGTTACTTGTCGACAAACTTATTCAAAGGTTAAAAAAGTTACAGCCCTTTGAATTTTCTTTCGAAATTTGTTTCTAGTCTATAACTTTTGATTGAGAAGTCTAATCGAAAAAGTACGAATTGTTTTGGATTCTACGCACCAAAATTAATAAAAAAAAGTGTTTTCCCGAGAAATTTTGGTGTAGTCGATTTTTGGTAAAAAAGGAAGGTTATACACTGCCTTTTTTTTAGCCCCGAAAAAAAAATTGTCTCAGATCGACCCGGAAAAAAATTTTCTTATAGAATGTGGCCTGTAGAATCCATAATTTCAAACAGTTCCAAGATTGGGCTACTAGTTCAGAAGTTACAGCCCTTTGAATTTTCTTTCGAAATTGGTTTCTAGTCTATAACTTTTGATTGAGAAGTCTGATCGAAAAAGTACGAATTGTTTTGGATTCTACGCACCAAAATTAATAAGAAAAAGTGTTTTCCCGAGAAATTTTGGTGTAGTCGATTTTTGGTAAAAAAGGAAGGTTATACACTGCCTTTTTTTGAGCCCCGAAAAAAAATTGTCTCAGATCGACCCGGAAAAAAAAATTTTCTTATAGAATGTGGCCTGTAGAATCCATAATTTCAAACAGTTCCAAGATTGGGCTACTAGTTCAAAAGTTACAGCCCTTTGAATTTTCTTTCGAAATTGGTTTCTAGTCTATAACTTTTGATTGAGAAGTCTGATCGAAAAAGTACGAATTGTTTTGGATTCTACGCACCAAAATTAATAAGAAAAAGTGTTTTCCCGAGAAATTTTGGTGTAGTCGATTTTTGGCAAAAAAGGAAGGTTATGCCTTTTTTTTTGCCCCGAAAAAAGAATTGTCTCAGATCGACCGGGAAAAAAAAAATTCTTATGGAATGTGGCCTGTAGAATCCATAATTTCAAACAGTTCCAAGATTGGGCTACTAGTTCAAAAGTTACAGCCCCTTAAATTGTCCGATTTTATTCGGGCGGCTTTATAGAAACAATCTTTTATATAGGCAACACACAGTACTTTCTTGCACGCAGATTTGGAAACCTCATATTGATAAAGTTGGTAACTTCCAAGTTCCATGGCCAAATTTGACACTAACAGCCGTGTATAATTTTCAACCTAGCTCTTTATGTATTTATTTTGATTATAAAATTATATCCTTCTTGAACATGCAATAAACAATTAAGAAATGCAGCTCATTATTTATAAGCATATTTTTATATGATTTACATATTAACCAAAAAATGTTTGTTAAGGATCCCTGCGGTATAATCTGTGTACTGGTAACTTATGCTGCTGTACTCTATGCGGATTATGTTGTAATACGATGGATTGTTCTGCAAACTATGTTCAATAGGTGCTTGCACGGTGTCATCTTGCACGAGAATAACTTGTAGTTTTTTAGCTTATGGGGTCCATTTAACGCCGTAGCCTTCAATACGATAGTCTTCTTTTTGATAATGGCACATATCAGGGCAGTTTTTTCGGATCCGGGCGTGGTGCCTCTTCCACAAAGTCGTGTCGACTTTTCAGATATTCATTCGGCTGAAACAGGTAAGACGCCACTGCTTAAATCAAGTATATAGGTAGGTCTGCAGGTTGTGAGCATGTCGATTGGACTGTCTGTACCAGATGCGAGATGTATAGACCGCCACGGGCGCATCACTGTCGCATATGCAAGCGGTGCATAAAAAGGATGGACCATCACTGCCCGTGGATCAATAATTGTGTCGGCGAGAGGAATCAAAAGTATTTTATGCAGTTTTTAGTGTATGTCGGTAATGGATCGAGCCAATTGAATATGTGACTATTTTTCAATCATATTTTGTAGCCATTTTAAGCGGGTATGCCATTACATTAGTCGTAGTTTCGTGGATAAAGGAATGTCCCGATTGTGATCCTACAATATTAATTAAACAATCACGAATGTAAGTATGGGTGCAACTCGATTAAGAAATTAAAAATTATAGTCTTAGTAAGTCATACAGGGTGTTCCAACTGAAGCTGGTTCTATTATTGTTAAGGTTTAATATGGCAGTTAGCCTTTAAACAAAATAGCATTTCAATTTCAAAAAATTGTCTCCTAATAAGAAAAATTGTAAAACTGCAAGTGTATTTCTGACAAAAAATTATTCATAGGGTGTGCCGAATGTCCGTAATAATACCGATTCTCTTTTTAGAATGCACTGTATAATACTGCTGCTAGAAAGTGCACTGTTCGGCATGTTTGTTGCGGCGATTCTGGTCGATCAACTGCAAGCAATATTCGGAGACGAAACGGGCGTCGAGCAGGTGCAACACAAAGGTCCATATCGAGCGCACAAATCAAAATACGCACTGCTGAGCGAAGTCTGCGGCCAGCAGCATCCGTTAATGTGGCTTCTTCCGTGCAATTCCACTTCGCGACGATTTGACACTCCACTAATAGATTACCATATTTAAATGTTATTTATCGCCAGTGTGAATGTTTTAGAGGCATTTATGTTACGTTTTTGAAATTTTATTATCGTAATAATTATTATTTTCGGTAGATGATCTATGCCTCTCTGCTAATTTTGACAATCGGCTTTAGCTCTTAACGGAATTGATCTCATAGGTGGAGCAGAAATGGCATAGTTTATCTACTCGGCTTTGTCAGTCTCACTTCACCGCTTTGTAAATGTAAGTCGTGGTAATTAATGTAGGTACTGTAATACCAAAGGACGATATTTATTATTTACATAATTAATGTAACTAATAAACAATTTTTACAATTTTTGATAATCTTTTTGTAAAAGATTCCTTAACATTTAAAATATAAACTTTACAACTTATTTATAATAAAAAGTATCTTAATTACGCTAACGGTATAACCTAGTCAAGTCTTTGAGTGCGTAGGTAACTGATTTGGATGTGTCGGACCTATAATTAAACAAAAAGATATAAGTAACAACATTCTGCGCATACAATTAATTTCATCAAAGGGAATCCACTAATTTTTGTGTGTAAAGAAAACATCCGACAGATTAAGGACTCTGGGTCCCAAATTTAAATTAAATTAAACACCCACTTAGGATCTAGCTATAAGCTTCAAGCCTTGAATATCAATAAGGTGAGAATTACAAAAACAAAACAAGATCACATTGATTTTATTATATGGAACGCTCTGTATATATGCTTATTCAGTTTTTAAAAATATGCTTTTTACGCGCCATATACTGAAGAAAATAGAAACGTTCTTGAGGATCTTCTTTAACATAAGAGGGTATCTATATATTGTAAGTTATTTTTATACAGTGCGTTTAACGTTTAACTTAAACTGGAACATACGATTTTGCATGCTTATGTTCCATTTAAAAAAAAGCGTCAACCTATAAGAGTAGTTCAAATGGGTGGTAGGTGCAATGTACAACTGTCACCTACAAATCTACCGCCCTGCAGATAAATTTCAAAAATGCTGTCTAAAGAGATGAAAATTGAAACTATAAATTTATACAAAGTCCACGATTTACTTGCAGTTCAGTATCCTGATGAACCAATACCTTCCATTTCAACGTACATAACCTAAAAAGGCTGGTTCAGTTGCGACTCCCACAAATTTTCAATACTGTGTGTATAGTTGTGAACCGCACACATCCTATATAATAGGTTGATGCGTTTTTTCTTAAAATGTAAAGTCACTAGATATAGAAAGTACCCTTAGACTATGAAAGAAAGGGGACTGACAATATCCTATCCAGCGCAATGCTGCGCGGTGAAACCTGGGGCGGCCATATTTTCGGAGCCAAAATTTGTTTAATTTTTCATTTTCGTGATTATGCGATCCTTAAGTCTCGAAATATGCGATTGAAAACATTATTGGACAATGGTACATTGTAGTGCACGGAAGTAATAGCCAAAAAACACACGAAAGTATTTTGTTTCACAGGTATAAATTTGAGGTTAGTTTTCGGTGGAATAACAAACAAATGTGGGCTACACTTTACGATCAATATTATCACTCCTCATTCTTTCCTTCTCTAAGAAAGTACCGCAATCATCCGCCATTTTTGGGCAAATTTGCTGCCAACTTAAAAAAATTGACAAATAAAATCTGAATAGCTGTCATTTTTTATAACCTAACTTCATAGTACTGTCATGTTTTATAAAAATATATACAGATATCTCCAAACAGGTGGAACAATCCCTTACATTAAAGTTACTAGAATCTGGTAACTTCCGCCATTTTTGGGCAAAAATCATGCGTTCTCTTTCTAACACACGAGCCCAATGGATTGCGGTACTTTCTATATTTAGTGACTATTAAAATGGAACATACAGTGCCACCATGCTCAGAAAAGCCCCGGAAAATATGCGAACTAATTTTGAAATAATTCAGGCTGGCCAATAGAAAGTCTGCAAAACGACGCGATACATTCCACGCCATAATTATTATTTATTCCGTTTTGACAGTTGACGCTTCACATTATTTTAGTTTACACTTTGCTTCTTGTATTTGCTTTATTTTACGTTTTCCGTCTCCAGTTTTATACCAACTTGCATATAGCTTGGATCTACGATCTGATAAGGTATTTAATTCCCTTAGTGTTTTTAAATTTTGCATCAGAATGTACGGTCTAAATTTCTAGCGCCCTCGGACACGCCCTATCAGGGACTTTTTGATCTTGGTGCCACTGTAGGAAATCACCATTGCATGCAAAATCGTACGTTCCAATTATGATAAACGTTATACACCCCTCAAATACCACCTACACCTTGGCGCAGTGGCGGAGGCCACATGCAGACTTTGTAGATGGCTAAACACATTCTATTTGGATGCGTGGCCGAGCAAAAACTAAATGACCTCGGCGAGAACAAGCTGAAACCGCACGAAATAGGGGAATCAGTGCAGTAATTAGCTTCTTCAATCGGCTAAAACTACTCTAAAACGAGTGAGGGCAGCACACAAATCCTTAGAGGATTAGGTGCTTGAAGGCTAGACTGCCTTACCCTTACATACAATACCAGAACCAAGTGATCGATTACATTTAAGAATCTGCAAAAGACATTCTGCTCGAAGTAATTTTAATATTCCTAAAGGAATCGACCCATGCGTCATTTGCGTATTTATTAGAGTTCAATCAAGCGAGGCGATAAAGGGTAAGGAGTATTATTGCTAAACTAGCCGTGGGTCAAATAAAAATGAATTGTGATATTAAAATTGTTTGCCAGTGCCATAGCCTACTGAAAACAGCTTTTAAAAAATTAGTGGACCACCTTTGTGGTAAAAACTCTACATACCTTGTAATCGAAATGTAAATTGCTTGTAGTTGATCAGGTGTTGCGGTCACGATACCTCCGTGTCCTTGCTTCGGTAACGAGTCCAATGCTGTCGTTAACCATTTGCTGGTAACTTCGTGATCTAACTGAAGAAGTTCGACGAAGACATCAGCCATTTCGGAAAGCATATACGAGTGCAAATAAAAAACGCAGGCATGGATCAGATTCGTGATGAGCTGTTGACCGTACTCGTTGAGAATGGATTGAATCATAGCTTTCCGTTTATCGTAATCCGGATGTTGTTTTCCCGTGTGCCCGGAGCTTATGAGGTCGTTAAAAAATTTCATTACGGACATGTTAGCTTCTTTGTGATCCAAAGAGCAGGCGAGTAGTGAACACTGCAGAATTAACGGCAATGCGGTGCATTGTAGGAATTCCATCGGGGCGCGCTGCAGTAACCTCGCGCACAGTCTAAAGAAGTCGTCCACGGTGTCGGGGTGATTGCGTAAACCATTTTCTTGTTGCAGAAGGTTAAAAGTTGGATTGATGAGCGCTTTTAACATCTCCAACAGTCCCGCTATACAATTGGGATCAACGGCGTATTCGTCGACTAGGATACTTCCAACGTAGAGAAAGCAAGAATGTTGGTGTGTGTTATAAATTTGAACGAGTTGACTAATAAGAGGCTGCAGTAGCTCTGACAGTTGTTGACTGACGCATCGTAGCATAAATCGAATACTTCGACAGCACCGCTCCATTATTCTGACGTCGCCCTGATACTTTTCCATTACGTGGCTAAGTACGGGCCACACCTCTAAAGCGGTGCTCTTGCAGGGATTCGTCTCGCCTTCGGCCAACGGCACGTAAAGATTTCGAAAGATGGACGACAATCTATCGAGCCACATTACCGGATCGGTCTTCATTCCGCGTCCCGTCGGCGCGTTCTGTTTCATTAATTCGCATAACGGATTCGTTTGAAGAAGGCATAGTTCTCGAAGCGTGGCGGGAATATCGTTGTGAGGCATGCAACTGACAATCGCCGTGACGCCCTTCAATAGACCGATTATCGCGCTGTTCGCTATCGCAAGTGTGTCTATTTGGCCCAACAATTGCAAAAGTACGGGAATGTGTCTTGGCATGTGGTCGTTACATGCGGCGCAAATGTTTTGTAGCGCAGTGGCGGATGCGCCGCCTATGCGCGGCTGCGATAAACAACAGACTAGGAAATTCAGAACTAGATCTAAGGTGGCCGGATGTCGTTCGATCCATTCGCATAGTTCGCCTAGTAGGAGAATAGACGTGTACTTTACGGCGACGTGAGTATTTTCAGGTAAATTCAGTATAGCCTCCACTACTTTCGGTACAATGTCATTTTCATCACTGTAACAAGAGTATAACTTTAAAACATTGAGGGCAATACAATGGTATGAAACTAATAACTATTACACAAGCTATAACTAACTACTAGGTGGGCCAAAAGAAATCACCCTATTGGAAGATGCTCTTATTTTTGCAAATGGCGGCCAATGTCAAATCTGTTTTGACATTTGTGAACTAGACAGGTTTAGAATACAAGTGAACAAGCCATGGAGCGATACACTCTCCAAGAACGCGTAATAATCGCGTCTATTTTTTTTGCGTAACAATTCATCTCTCGTTTTGACGATATACACTGGCCCGCAAGGTCGCCCGATTTAACCGTTCCAGACTTTTTTTGTGGGTTTTTTGAAATCCCGTGTTTACGTGAACAAGCCTGAGACCCTGGAAACCCTCAAGGACAACATTCGACATAAGGGTTAATTACTCATTACAAGGAGTAATAAACCATCATTATGTTGTACTTTAAATGAATAAATAAATACCTCACTGTTTTCCTGCATTTGACAAACTGAAATCTTATGAAACTGGACAATGTCAATCAATAAATTAACTGAGTAAGACATGACCAGTAAGCATATCTTATAAATATACAGGGTCTTCAATTAAAATTTATATATTTTTGCGGAAACGTTTAAAATAAATAGAATAAGTGAAAAAAGTGAAAAGTATTTATACTTACGTCAGAATGCTTTTGGCGACCGCTTGCATGACAAACAGAGACGCTTCACTAGCGTCCCAGGTGACACCGGGCACCTGCAAATTTAAAAACATCTGCCGAAAGCAGTTACTGCCGCCCACAATAAAAACAACATCTTTAATAAGTTCAAACACTTTCATCCGAAACTCCTTAAAATCGTCACCACTTTCGAGCAACCCCTCGTGATCGGGTTCCATCTGGCTGTGTCGGCACAGGGCGGTAATTAGCCTCTCTACGTAAGGCTTGAATGCGTCCGTGCAGTTATAATCGTGCCTCTGATAAAGTTCCTCGCTTAACAAAAACCACAAGTTAAAAGTTATCTCGGCCACTTCGTAGTCGTGATGTCCGACGCACATTAAAATCAGATCCAGCACTTTTATCGTAAAGTGCTGCTGGTCTCGATTGCTATTCGATATAATTCTATTCAAAAACGATTCGCCTAGCTCGGTGAAGATTCGACAGTAGTTCATGGACTTTTCTTGATCTTCGTTCGCGACCGATAAATGGTAAGGCACTTCCAGGGTTAGTACTTTATTAAACAGCAACATTTCAAGTACCTGCTGAGTACCAACGAAATTAAAAAACAATAACTCAACACAAAATCATAGGGTAAAGAATAGCAACTTCCATGTATTTTTTCAATTGTGCTACTGCACGAGGTGCCCTCTATTCTTTACACTATGGCAAGCTCAACACTGATTCGGCACTTGAACTCACCTGGTGATTGTTATTATCTTCTAAACATCGTAAAATTGTACAAACGCAATCAGTGGCGCTATCGTGCAAACTTCCGGTGACCGGCTGCAACTTCTGCCCGTCAAATTTCTGATTTAACACCTCAAAGACTCTCGTTATAATCACATTATCAACTAAACTATCGAGTGATATCGCGTTTACGGTAACCCACGACGTAAAGCAGCGTATAATCTTAATGTTCCCCTGAATGTTACCGTTTAGATCGTCGCCGAAACTGTTGCAGCAGTGCTTCAAAAATTCGTTTACTGTCGGCGAGCACAACTTCAAATTATCTAAAATTTCGGTACGTCGATTCTCTCCCAGTCTCACCGACCGTCCCTCCAGTTCTTCGGGTAGGACCGTTAAGATTTCAAGAAGAGGCCATACGTTGGTCTGTGAGAATTTGTTGATTAGATCGTATAGGGGTTGCGTCCAGTTCGGCATCTGTAACACCAGATCGGCCAGTGCGACGCACAATTGCGTTACTATCACAGTATCTGTGTGTTCGTTAATTTGACTAATGTGATCTAATAGCGAGTCGCGCAGGGAAATGTGAGCGTCTACGGGTAGTTCATAGAAGCATTGCTGTATTTTCGTGCGCATTGTCTGTGCGGCAAAGTAGCACGACTCGAGGTCTCGTTTCAAATGTAGTAATTCATCGGCAATGGTCCACGCGTGTACCTAAAGGTTCTCGTTGCATTAATGAGATTGGGAAGCAATCTGTTACCGATTTTTGTAGATCTTCAAGCCAGTGAGAAGCTCTTTCCTTCTCGGAGGTATCCGGGTTGTTGTAAAGCGAGGAAATGGCGAGTAAGACAACATCCAAACTAGGTTTTTGCTCCATAATTATTAGTGACACACAATTTACAAACTTTTTACATAAAAACTATCATTTTAAAAAGTAAAAAACCAAATCAGTTAGTACAATCATAAATAAAGAAGTTGGCTTTAAAATGAACCACTACCAACACATTCGCTTTAGAGGTTAAATTGCACCGGTAGTGAACCGTTGCGGCACAGTAGCCACTATCAAATTCAAACGGTGATAATCTTAGACCATATAGTACATGGACTGCTAATTGTAACGAAAATATGGTCAAGGACATCGCCTGGGTATGTGAGTTTCAGGGTAAACGAGTCTGTCCGAAGTTGTCCGATTAGATACGATTTGAGACTGTCAACCTATAAATTAACAAACGTCAATTAATTAATCGCCTAGATATGCCAAAAAAGCAAACCTATCCGTATTTGTAGACGTATAGAAGATAATCAAGAGTATTTAAAGCTTCCCGTACTACGCGGTTCCCATAAAAGCTACTCTTTACGCGATCCGAGTGGTGTTCATACGGCTTTAGTTTACCCTGAGATTCACATACCCACGACTACAGTGCCCTCTATCCGTGACCACCCATTTTGTATTGAAAGCATAGGGATAATAGCAGTCCATGTACTTATGGTCTAAAGGTAAGTTCATAGCTCTCCGTTCATACGTTTCCGTTTGTCCGTTAGCCAATCAGAAGACAGCAAATTTTTAAATCGTACGTCGTCCGTTTACGACGGAAAAGTTGGTTGAAGTTGAACATTTACGTTTCCGTTGGTCCGTTTTTAACAAGAGTGAGGTTATGTTTGGTACGTTAGACGTTACCAGCGTTCGCCTACTCGTTCTTCACGGTAATATGCCAGATAGCAATGTGTTCTTACTTTGGTACCATTTTTACATACTGAAAATCACTGACGGTACAGTACAAAATAAAGTTTAGGTTATGATTATACTTGCAAATGTACAATGTGGACGGATTGCTATGAACCTTAACAAAATGTACTATCCGTTTGACGGATCAACGCAACGGATGAACGGAGAGCTATGAACCCACCTTAAGGTGATAGTCACTCTCAGAGAGTAAGAAATTTTTCGTACTTCCGGGACTAAAGTAACAACTTCACTCCATTATGACAAGTACTGAAGTGTCACTTTTTGTCCCGCCGGGATTAAAATTAGACGAAAATCCCGGAAGGATGAAATTACTAACAAGGCAATTTCAGTAGGTTGTTCCACATTTTGTATGCGGCACCACTTCTTAAACGCATCGTACTGCTGCTCATATAGTTTTTTGGATTTCGGTGGTATCGATTCTTTACCTACTTTGGCCGCTTTTTATCAATATCAAATACACCTTTGTCACCCACCACCAAAATTATGACACTAGCAATGACAGTTTCCAAATTATTTTTGTTACCATGGCATAGGGATTGTCATACCAACGCAACGTTCCTATGGTAACTTGTTAAGCAGCGATTTTTTGAAAGAACGCGTTCTCTAACTCCATACCACAGAATAAGACCTTCACAGAACAGAAACATAAATGGCGCTAAATTGTCACTGATTACAGCGTTTCCCGTGGTTGTACGGAGAACTATTTATCGCAGACTCAAATATTTTTTTGCAAAACCTGTAATTTTGCTCGTTACAGGAAATATTTTTACCGTCGATTTTATACGTACACATGGTTTTACACAAGTCAATTTTGACTTTTGAAAGATTTAAAATATGAACAAGTTATGTGACTTTAAAAAGTGTTATGTGGCGGATTATAACAATAAAATATCAAAAAGGCATCGTTTCCCATATTTTGAAACAGATTGTTTTGTGCTTGAAACGCGAAGAGGATTGAAATGTGCTGTTATTTCTCTCCTATTTATGCAAGGTATGGAATTTATAAATTACCAACGGTATAGGCGCAAAAGGGTGTAGACTTGAGTTTTATATTTATATAGACGTAGATACTTATATTGTAATTCCTTTTAGACAATGAATACAAAATACGTTTTAGATAATTCAACAACTTCCACCCTCGCTTCTCAAGTAACAAGTAAGCACCAGGATCAAGTTAACATTTGTTGTCAAAAACTTGTGTGACAATTTGCTGAAACGGTTTTATTACCTCTTGGAACAAAAAATTTAGTTCTAAAGATATTTTTTAACAAAAATATTTAGTCCAAACAACAAGTAAAACCAAATATTTCGTACGACAAATCGTTATGTAAGGATCTTTCTTCAAAGTGTTAACATCTACAAACCGTAAGTTCCACTCACTTCTGAGTTTTATAATATGTAATTTGTAAATATGTAATTTAAGTTCTCTGTGTTAAATAATGTAATGTGATTGTATCTAAATACAATTTAATTTAACAACTGTGTATTCTTTATCGATATTTATGATTTATATCGAATTTGGGAAATTACTTCATGACTTTAGAAGCTGGTCACCAGATGGCGCTACTCTGATTTCGTTGCTTTAGTTCACAGTACACCCACCAGGCTCCGCCAAAATACCATACAAATTTGTAACATTGCTGTTTCTATTCTGAGAAGGCCGTATTCTGTGCTCCATACATATTAAGTGTTTCGGTTTCGGAAGTACGAAAAATATTGTATATACCTTGCGACTGAAGTAGTGGTCTTAATCCCTCAGGTAAATTATGGCCCTCCCTTCGGTCGGGCCATAAACTTTACCTTCGGGATTAAAAGTACTACTTCAGTCCCGCGGTATATAATATACTATATTACTCTGAGAACGCACCCGTTTACCTTTAAAAATGTTGTTAATTAGAATGAACCAGGATAAATATTAAATAATGTAAAAGGAACGGCAAGTCAAAAGATCTAGCGTACAGAATAATTCAAGGGAAATATCTACGTGCGATATCTAAAGCCGGATTTATAGTTCCGTAGCCGTAAGAACGTAAAAACGGAACCGTAAAATCTTACGTTAACGAAAATTATACGATTTATAGTTACCGTAGTGGTAAGAGATGAGCTTGCGTATTTATCTGCCATTGTATGTCATCTGTCAGTAAGAGTAACGTGTATTTCAAAATAATAATAACCAACAAAGTGTCAATAATTATTGTAAATAAACGAAACGAACGTCAGGATAAACTCAACTGTTTGAATTATCCGAGTACTACCGAAGACAAGCGCGTTAGCACGATTTACCGTAAGAAATAAGATTTGGGCATTTCCTACGTACCGTAACCGTTCTAACGCAACGTTAACGAGAATTATAAATGTTCACGCGCAACAAGTAGGGTTTAATTCCAAACGTTACGGTACGGTGTTGCGGGTACGGAACTATAAATTCACCTTAATGGCGGCAAATTTGCAGGGGCGTCTTTGCAAAAAAACATTAAAATTTAAGTCTAAATACACACCATAGCTTATATTAAGCGTTGTTCACACAGTAACATTTTTTGTCACTAGATTTAAGGTACTTATCCATTGCAACTTGCAAGAAGCTTTTAGTTTAAACTCAGTGGTTCTAAGTACACGGATTGATTTATAACAATTCTCCCCGCAACACGGACGACGTTTATATCAGGGATACAGTCCTAGGCACGTTCCTAGGTGACTCTCGCATTCTATCATCTTATTTAATATGAACTCCCCGCTCCTTGTCCTTCATGCATCTTCTTTGTCTTACGATTGTTTGTAGTTCTTGTTCTAAGTGCTGTAGCTCATTCCAAAAATCCTGGTAACTAAGGCACAGATTGTAGTTAATCTGTGCTATACGCTTACCAGATGTTAGTTCCAATATCACGCTGGGGATTGGACACAACTTTTGGCAGGTTATTTCCCCATTGTCCTATTCATACGTATTACCTATACCTATCATTCCGTCTGACTTTGATGTGTACCTAAAGCAGTTAATTTGGTCTAGTGTTGTGACATGGGAAACCCCAAAATTTGGTACCGGCTTTGGGATATAGCGCCGACTCAAAATTTCAGGAGCACTGATTTGCTCAAAAGTTCTTTTTCCAGAACGTCTGCAACAGTTGCCAATTCTTGATGTGATAGGACATAAGTTTCTGTCCATTTGCTGAAATAGTCCGTTGTCACCAAGATGTATTCATTTCCAAAAGATGTCTCTGGAAACATATTCTTTCAAATTCAAATAGACTATACCCACGTTATATATTCTTTTGGTCCACTGCTTGTAGCACAAGACAGCACAACTTCACATCTTGTTTGCAATTTACGCAGTATTATTGTGCTCGCACCTTGACCAAGGTTTTCGTCACTCCAAGGTATTCTCCCGATATACCCGGGTGCCATCATTATTTTCTGAACTCTCCTAAGAAAACGCATAACGAGTATCCCACTGAGCCCGTACCTTTTCGGTTTTAAGGGTTCCAATATAAACCAATAAACAATATACTTATTATAAGAAAGAAAGAATCGACAAAAATTAAGTATACATATTATTATCTGGCATAATATATTTGTTAGATTTAAATGAAACTACTTTTTAGCTTACGCGTTCGTTTCACCTCTTTCAACTGCCCGTCTTTTTCTTTACTTCGGCCGTAGTTTCAGCTTTTGCTATCTTCACAGATTCTTCAGCCCTCTTACTGTTTTTGATTTGATTATTTTAGTTACCCTATATATATTGTCATGAGCAGGATGCAGGACTATGTTTAACCCCACACTATACTTAGATATACAGGGTGCCCATTATGTATGGAATATAATTATAGTATATATTTCGGTATGATACATTTTTATTTCCTATAATAAGGCAGCATTCAGTTGTTTTGATTTCAGAAAACAAATGAGTAACGAAAAACAATTGCTTCATTCGATAAGAGAGTTTTGTTCACTCTTCGATGATATAACATGTTAGTACCTTATAGAAGAAAATTTGTCAAAAAATAATTATTATAATATGGGGGTTTACAATATAGTTGAATTCCGCAGTTTTAATTTAATAAGCGTGTACCTGAAACCATAAAACATTTTTTTGGACAGTAAAAGTTTATTTAAAAATAGAGGCTGATTAGCAAACAAATAATGATAACATGTGTGGTTTTAAGGGGTTATTCAAAACGATATGATTGTGGCGGGCTCTATGACATAATAAGCCCGACCAATCAGCTCCTAGAACCATTCAGATGACATAACGACTTGGCAATATTGCACGAGAATGTCATTTGTAACTAGCGTCACCTTTCACAGGCACTTGTCATTTGTCGTTCACTTTCGCGTTAGATGCCATGCTTCTTAAAACGTCAAATCCGACAAACCTCAGACTCTCCCACAAGGTTGCCTGGTCACTTCTACGTGATTGGTTGTAGGTTTGTGACGTATTTAGTCTGAAGCGTTTCAAATTCGGACTAAAAACACAGCTTTTCAATAATTTATTTTGGGTTTATTTTACTCGCAAATAAAAATTGCGGACACACGGGTCTTTTTATTTTTAATGTACTTTGTAGATCAGAAATAAAAAATGGAGCCGGGATGCTCCCATTACATCAATAACATAAATCTAGATATTCTACAGCTACACCATAATAAAACAAATGAACGTGTATGTTTCTTGAAGACAACAGGAAATTAGCAATAATTGCGGTAGCAATTTTTCCCAGAATACTCAGATATTAATTCAATTGTTTTTCGTTATTCATTTGTTTTCTGAAATAAAACAACTGAATGCTGTGCATTATTATGGGAAATAAAATGTTAAACAACTTTCATGTAGAAAAATGTTGTATACATTCAATATTTACCTCCTATCGATGGACGGAGGCAGAGGGGCGTAAGATCTGTGTTAATAGGCACCATTTACCGAGGGTACGACTCTGACTACTTTGCAAGTCATTCAAAATACAATAAATTAATAAAAAAAAATAGAATTAGTGACAAAATACATTTTCTGCAGTAATTTTGAACTCCTGTGAACAGTGAGCATTCAAAATTCCCGCCAAATTGCGGCGTCTCGCGCATCGCCGATAACTATAAATTTAATAAAGCTACAAGTACTTACTAAAGTAAGAAATTAGACTCTCAGTAGACAACGGTTCACTGTAATAACGAGTTGTATGTTCTAACTAAAGTTAAACTGTTGAAAAATCGGAAGTATATTATCCCGGATTTGTATCAAGACGCATATGCGCAAGCGCATACGTTTACCGCCATTGCAAGATGATCTGTACGATGATGAATCGCAATAAATTATATCACTTGCCCGATACTTACACTTTAATTTGCATTATATTTGCCTAAATAATTATTAAACAAAAGTCAAACATAAAAATCGTTAGTAACTGCAATGTCAAAAAGCTTCAAAAGAATTCGCAGCTTCGCCACAAACACGACGTCAAATTGGAACTCTTCCGTAAACAGATTTCATTCTTCGTCGACGTATACGCATACATTAATTCCTTAGATAAAAGATACCGGGAAATTAAAAGAGAGAGATATTTACCACGTGCGTTTATCAGATTCGTCCGATTTGAGAAGCACGTACTCCTTCGGCGAGCAGATCGGCCGTGGAGGATTTGGGACGGTCATCAATGTCGTCGATAGGCAAAGCGAGAAGGAATGGGCGTTAAAAATCGTCTGTAAGGCTGCGGTGAGATAAGGGGGTAGTGCGTGGCACTCTCAGCAGCAAATTTGTAGGTAAAGGAGAAAATCGATACGGTCTATCGAGAGATACGCATATTAAAGATGGTGAATCACCCTCATATCATTTACCTGGACAAAGTGTACGAGTCCGCGAAAAAGATCTACTTAGTTTTGGAACTTTGTCGCGGAACTCTGTCGACGATTTACAAGGAACAGAAGCCCTTTTCGGAGAGTAACGCTCGGAAGATAATTAGGGATCTGACCAGCGCAGTTTCGTACTTGCACAAACATGGTAAAAGGCGCGACGGTTCGACAAAATGATGATGTGTATTTTCAGACATCGTTCATAGAGATTTAAAATTGGAAAATATTCTTATTGCCAAGAATCCCGAAGACGTCGACGACGAGCTTTTTATAAAAATAACCGATTTTGGATTGAGTATTGTTAAACAGGGGAGCGGCTATGAGAACATGCTGCACGATCTTTGCGGGACTTTCGTTTATATGGGTGAGAAGGTGCACGTTTCGAGAGGGACTGCTTGACGTAGATTTTAAGCTCCGGAGATCATTACGATGCACTCGTACAGCCAGCAGTGTGATGTTTGGGCGATTGGGATAATAATGTATATGCTGCTGATGGGCGATTTGCCATTTTATTCCCCCGACGAGAGGGTTTTAACGGATATGATTTGCGAGAGCCAGCCGTCCTACAACAATTTTCCGGGCAGTACGGAAGCGCTCGATTTGTTGACGAAGCTGTTGAATAAGAATCCCGCGCTAAGGTCGACGGCGGTCGAGGTGACGCAACATCCGTGGATTGTCGGTGAAGAAATAAACGAGGCGAAGGAGCCGGAAAATGTACTCGATATGATGAGGCTATGGCGATCAGATATGATGGTGGTAGTACTCGTGGGAGGTCATAATTAAAAAGGCGATATTTTTAGCTTCCGATCGGCGACGAGTGCGATTGGGTGTCGGAAGCAAAAGCGATTAGGGAGCTGTCGCCGAAGAACGCTGGCGGTAACAAACAAAAGGTGCGGGACAGTGTGGGGATGGCATCGTCGTCAGCTGTCGCATCACCTGCAAATACACTCACACGCAAGCAATCGATGCACTTACCCGTTAAAAATATCCGTTTTGACAAAGCAGGTGGAAAGAGACAGCAACAGGAAGCCACCGAAGCGAGGCGAGGAACGACGAACACGCCCTCGCGCAACCAACCAATGAACGATCTACAACACGGCGCGAATTTAGAAGTTTTCAAAGGAAACAAGAACTCAAAATAAGGGGAGTGAAGTCGATTTTAATACTATGTATTGAAACGAATATTAAACAATTTGTATCCATTGTTTTATAAGTCACTCATAAATCGTACAGCAGCACTGTTTACAAATTTAAAATCTACAGATTAATTTAAGTAGACAAACAACGTATCGTAAATTTTGTATTTTGTAATAAACATTTCGATTCTGCAAAAATATAGTGAGGTGGGTGAGTAACCACCATGGACTACAACTAAACCAACTGGAATGAGAACATTAAAAGGCAGAGAGTTACAGAAACTCGGTCTCGGTCTCTGTAACTCTCTGCCATTGATACTGTCGACCGATGATCACCGCTAAAACATGTTTAAAATACAACCTATTGTTAAATTGTCACACATACACGGGCAACGAAAGTTAGTTCATGAAAATTACAGTTTTGATGTGGTATGGAGAATTGAGTTGCTTATTGCCGTCATAGCTCCCAGATTGTGCTTCAGACGTCTATTAATTCAATTACACTTTTTTACATAAAAAAAATTATAATGAAACACATAAGGGGTGAGACAATTGAATTTGAACATCAACTTAATCTAAATTTATACCTATCTTTACACAATAATAAAATGGACATTATTTTTACAATCGAGGGGTACGTAGTAGTGTTGGTAATAGTAATAAGTTAGAGAAGACTCAGCCGTGATGCTGACTACGACAGGTCCCAACAAACAGCAACAGTTCACGCACAGAACACTGCGTGGCGCCGTCACAGTCCCCGAGTGTCAAATAATCCAGAGATAGCCTGTGGACTGTCGAAGGTGAAGGGTAAAATCGCCTATTTCCTAATATAAAAACGCACTTTATTTAAATTTCGTTAAATTAAAATTATAGGACCACAAAGTAGCTCTGGACTGTTCACTAGATGATAATGTCAATTACACACACACACACGACACGGCTATTATGCGTCTTCATCGTCGTCATCCTCCGCGTCTTCGTCATCTTCATCTGAATGAAAACAAAACGTTACTCTACATTCAAATAACGCGGGCACCTACCTTCCCCATCCAATTCCCCTTCGTCACCTTCAGGTAATTCCTCCTCCTCATCGTCCTCCTCGACTTCCGCAATTTCTTCCTCCTCCTCCTCCTCTAGTTCCTCGCCTTCGGATCCCGCACCATTCTCTTCTTTCCTCGCTTTTTTCACGTCCTCTGATTTGTCCTGCACGAATTCGAAAAACAACACAATTAATTGGTGGATAATATCCCTCCCCCTTCGCTTCCTAATGCGATTAACTCCCTCTACAAAAACCGCGCGCGCTATTTGAAAACAAAGATAAAAACCGATTATCGCGCACAAACAGAAAAGTGATAGAACTACGCCAAGAAAACAAATGACGGCGGGGAACTCATAATATTTAAAACGCCGTTAGAAAGTAACCATTCGAGTTTGAGGGTCATTCTCCGTTACAATTTTTTCCCCCAAAAAAATACGTTATAAACAAAGGTCGAAGGTTACTAAACGATTAGGCGACATTTTCCCGAACTTCAAATTTCAACAACAATTAAAATTCGAATTCCTACATTTTTAATAATAATCTCGTGCGGGGAACGTAAGAAACACTATCGATTTCGCCATATTGAAAGTAAGGCTACGCTAGCCTCTAACAGGGTTCGCACCTACAATGGCGGGATACGGCTTGTCCACCATGTTTACAATTTGGAAAATTAATGCGGGGCCTCGCAAACTGCTAAAAAGCGATGCAAACAGTCGACATTCACCCAAACAAAGCCCTCAACACATCAAGCACGCGCTGCAACATTTTTAAACGGCAATAATTATCCTACACGTAACCAACGCATGGCATGGCGTTCCAAGTACATCAACATAATTTTTGATTTATAACAAGAAATGCGTTTCCTAGAGAGGCGCGCTAATTATAGCGAGCACGCGTTGCCACAATTAAACGATCTCGCAAAACAACAACGAAACAAACGTGGGGAAAAAATTTAAAAAACCTACCTCCGCCGCTCTCTTCGTTCCTTTAAGTTCACACTTGGGATCGGTCGCACTTTTGTCATTCTCTAATTTGTCGACAGAAACTTCATTATTTTCTTTGGAACTCATTGTATTTTTGTATGTGTAACGCTTCTTTTTGCGTAATCGAACTGAATACCACGATCGCTTACAACACTACTGACCGGCTCCGTTCAAGCTTTGTTCAAAAACGAAGATGGCGCCGCCGAAACCGAATCCTGCCGCGTTTAACCGAATTAGCGGCTCACTTTATTACCGAACTAATAAATACTCTTTCTACGGGAATTTAAATGACACGACCCGTTATTTATTTAATTGCATCAAAAGGGGAGATTCTACGTTCGGTTAATTAAATAAAAATTTTCGTATTTAAAAATTTGAGGGGTTCGAGAGTATAGCTGCTTAGTGCAACAGCTACCGTCGAGATTAAAAAATTATTTCCCTGATGCTACCGCTAGAGCGCGTACCGCCCGCCAAATATAAAAAATGTGTGTCATTACGTATATCGCGATTCATTAGGAAAGTTTTTGGTAAAAATACCGAGACAAGTGACCGCCGTGACGGAATCTCACGCCTATCAAATGGGGACAAGTCAAAATGTTGTATTTCAGGCCTACTACGAACAATTTCACGTTTGAAGAGCGTAGAACGCGACTTTTAAAAATAACAGTATGACTTTATAATTTCGCGCCCAGTGGCGTAACAGACACTATCTATGTTGCGATAAGTAAACATAGATACGAAATGATAAACCGATTGATGTATCGAAAAACAAATCCGCATTCAGAGCTTATAATCAATTCGCGTTGAAAAAACAGGCGCCATAATCGCGACACCAACGCATTCGCAACAAACGTGCCACGTGTTGAGGTGACCCAAACCTTTACGACGCCCTCTTGACACGTTGAGCTCATTATGGTACTTTTAAGTTTAATATTTCTTCGGCAATAAAAATCAACCATGCCTAAGTCTAACAGAAACTTTATTTCGCAATAAATTGTATGATTTCAAAGACAGTGGCGTACCACACAAATACGATTGAAAGCAACTCCCCGTTCGTAAATTTTTGAAACTGCAATCTAGCAATTGCACAAATACAACAAAAGTGAAAATACCTCGTTTGGAAAGTACGCCAACAAAAGTCTCGGAATTTGAATGTTTCCTATCAGCAGCTATAGAAAGACAGACCGACGCCTTGCACCGAATTTGCATTTTACTTAAAATTTTAAGATGACCGCCCCTAAACAAAGCGCCAACAATTCTGATCTAGAGGTTTAAACAAGCACGAATTTTTGAAAAAAGCAGAGCGAATTATAATTGGCGCACGAACAAAAAATTTGCTCTGTATGCCCCATACCGGGGTTTGTCTTTAAGGTTTAGTAGTTTAGTTGCAACAAGATTCCAAATTAAAGTTAACACTCCGATAGATCTGTTCCATGCAAAAATGAACAAAAAATGGGTGTCACTTGGTGACGTCATGTGGCAAAAACAAACAAAGATCGAATCTAAAAATTCAGAGATCGAAAGATCTCTAATTAATTTACTCGTTTGATTTATTTAGCAATATTGCTTTTTTATTTTTTTAAATAAGAATCCAGCTAAACTCGGTATACACTTATATGCGTTATTTTGCTAGTAAAAAATTGACAAATTTTAGAAAGAAATCGCTATGGACTCTTGGGTTATATGAAAGAAATGCTTATTGCTCCCCTCTAACGGCAACTTTTTTTTACATACTTACCAGTTACGCCCTGTATAATTTAAATGAACATGACATGATTAAGGTGGAAGGTCAATTTTTACCCCACTTGATCGCCTTTTGTTTTTTAAAGTCATCACATTCCAAATGAATTTTTAGACAAACACCTACTACGCTTTTTAATTTTTCTGGTGCAGATTAAAATAAATAAAGATGTGTACATTCTTTAATACACTCTGTATATGTAGGTATGGAAGTTCCTCCATATCTCAAAAATCAAGAAGTGGTACCGGAAGTTTCAATATGCGATCGGATAGGTCCTAACGTCATATAAATTTATATTTGACAAATTTTTCGTATGTCGACCTAAAAAAGAGATATTAGGGTGACACTCATATCTCGAACGCA